AGCTGTTTGATTAAAGGAAATGGTAAAAAAAAAAAAATTTAAAAAAAAAAAAGTGAAATTTGACCTGTTGGAGGTAAAAAAATGTCAAATGTGGTCCTGAGACAGAAGGTAGCATCATTGCTCTGTAAGTCTATGATGCCGTAATTGTTTGTTTTGTTTTTGTTTTCTTTCCTGCCTGTCCCGTTTGGTTCTTTTGCCATCAGAATTATTGTCTAAAGGCAAAGAAAGATGCCCAACGGATTTACTTTGCCAAATGGACAATCCCGGCCTTGCCGTATTGGTCTATTTGATTCACCTTTGCTTTTATTGTTTATTTTATTTTCACTTGCTACACATGGGACAGACATGACTGGGGGAAAGAAAAGGGAGAGAGAAAGAGAGGTAGGGAAAGAAAAACAGCGGGGGAGAGGAACTGTGATAAAGGGCAAAAACCAACACAACAAACAGACAAAAAATGCTGTAATTGTTCCCGTAATATTCCCATGTGGATATAATAACAGATGCTGAAGGTCAAAGGTCAAACTAGAGACTACAGTCGTTTCCCCACAGAACATGTTGGACGCTTCTTTAGATCTCAGGTAAGCACCATTCACTTTCATGCATTATTGACCATGTGGATAAAATACTACCGTTGGTGTTAATTGATGGACTTCTTAAACCTGTGCTGAACTACAATCCAAACCTGCACATCTGAAAATAAACCAGGACAATTCTGTTACGGCCTTTTTATTTTACTCAGTTTTCGTGTGGGGGCTTGTGTATGTTACTCCCCTCCTGCCGCCTAGCAGAGGGGGTCGTAACAATTCATCACAACTCACCACTAAAATACCACACATCTGCAGTGACAGAGAGACAAGGGAAAAAATTACAGAGACTGAAATGATTTTGTTCCTGTGCAAAGACATACTAGAAACCAGAAAGTGACTGATGATCACTTGTTCAAAAAGCAAAATTACTCATAATTTCAGATCAGAATCCTGGTAACTAATATCTGATGTCTCACAAATGTCTTAATGGATTATTTCATCCAGGTTATTTTTATATTCCAATTCTTATTGATTTCACTTCCTAGTTGTGCATCACAATCTTCACTTTGTGAAGCTTTGTTTGTGACAAAAAGCAGTTGTAAATGAAAAGCCGTCTTTCCAGGTTGGGAAAAATGTATCACACAATGTCCAAATTTGGATAAACAGTCAAAGTCAGCTCTAAATGCATCCCAAGACCTCAGCTTTATTCATTAGACAAGTGTGTGGCCTGTCATCTAGAGATTTAAACATTGTCGATTTCAGTAGTTGTCAGTAGTAATGCTACGTGGTTACTTAAACAAAATATTCATATTATACTAAGTAGAAAACCAGTTAACTACCAGAAGTGACATGTTATGTAGCCACATGGCACAAGGTAGGAGCCCCTCTCTTTCAGAAGAAGAAGTTCAGTGTCAGAGCAAACTGAAATAAAACCACTTGACCACAGCAGTGTTTTCCGGTCCTCTGTGTGGAAGGAAGTGCTAGCACTGCTAACATTAGCTAGACTTGGCAAACTAATCTTAAAATCCTGCACGTGTGACAACATGAAAGTGCCGCACATTTTAGCAACATGTAAAATACAGTTTGATTCCTGAAGAACGTGATTAACAGTTACAAATAGATCTCAAACACACACATTTTTAGGAACAATAGTCGATCATTAGATTGGGCTTGTTTGAATTATTTGTGAATGTTTTCATACTGTTAACAACTAATTCTTGGTGTCCTTTAGTTTTGCAACCCAGCTTTTTGTTTTCTAGCACAGACAGCATGAACAAACCAGACCCAAGACTCCGGTCAGCGTGGCTGATGGGTTTACCAGACTGGAAGCTGAGCAGCATGGCAGCATATGGCACTGCCCAACACAGCACTGAGCCCCAGTAACACTAATGCACACGTCCAGCCAATTACAAACACACAGACACGCAAGTGGGACTCTGAGTACAGTAGGAAGTTCCATGCTGGGTCAGCGGCTGGTCAGCTACAGCCCATTTAACACAAACACACACAAAGAAAAGCAAAGATACATGTAAACACTCAGCATGAGTCAATATAAGAAAACAAGGGGGGGGGGGGAGAGAAAACCCTAAAACTCAAATGAACAGTTGATTCAAAAGGTTATTACACAGGCCAGAATTATTAACACACACTCGCAGACCCTTATCCTCAGCTCATTAACTGCCCTCATCGTCAACTAGACTGATAATAATCACATCACTACACAAGCAGAAATTGTGTGTGTGTGTGTGTGTGTGTGTGTGTGTGTGTGTGTGTGTGTGTGTGAGAGAGAGAGAGAGAGAGAAAGCATTTAACCTTAACCAGACAACCATTAAATCAGCAACAACACCTGGTTAAGTCTGTATCAGTATACTTTTGCTTTAATGAGCAGCAATAAATCCCAATTTTTCAGAAGAATGTGTAGTGTAGAAACTGTAGAAGGCTTTATTAAAAAATATAGTCTGTTATTACTACATAAACAAATCTTCATGGATCAATGTGAGTGGTGCTTACTCGCTTCGTCGGCGTGCCTCCATCCCATCAGGTAGGAAGAGTTTGATTGTTGACACGATGCAGCCATGGGTGACTGCAGACAAAAAGAGAAAAGACACTTCAATATTGTTCATATGAAGAAAACGAAATAAAACAGAGCAGAATGTTTACATATACAAAGTCCTGGATCATCAGCGAATATAGAGACTCTAGAGAATCCATGTCAAACATGCATCCCGGGCTGACTATGTGTCAAAGTTCATAATTTTTAAGGAAAAGATTTCTGCCTTTCTGGCCCATATTAACAAATCCTATGAGGTATCAAATTTCATATTATTGAAGGTTTTCTGTTATAATTAGGTATGGTTCAGAGTAATCACCAGTAGCTCACGAGTAAAAGGCAATTTTTTCACCAGTAGCTGCAGAGCTGTTGTATTACCACTACCTTCAGCCCTGTTGAAGATTATTCCACAGATTGTCAAACACATGGTGAGTCAGTGCCTGAGTATTTGAGTGTATGTTGCTTCTTTCTGGGGCTGTGCGATATGACCAAAATCTCATATCCCGATATAAGACCTCTATCATCCCGATAATATAAATCACAAAAATGTTACACTTTCTGAAAATTCTGTGAATCTCGGGCAGCTTGACTTGCGTGAAGTGTTTCCAGCTGGGCGTCGTGTACATGGAGTCGAATGTTTTAACCAATGCATGAAACTATACATTTTTAGACATAAGTTGTAACGGCCGCCATTTTCTTTGTGAGTATTTATTACACGGCGTGCTGCGGGGAAAAGCCTGTTCTAACGTTTGAGTCTAAGGTTTATTTTTTAGCACCTGACGGCTCTTTTTTGCTTCTCATCCGTAAACACTATGCATACTCTTTCACGTGATTCAGTTTATTTTAAAAAATCTCAACAGGATCTTGAGCTTTATTCTGAAAGGTTTATGTGGAAAATAAACAAGCAGACACGCGATGGTTTTGCCGTCGCTGTTGTTAACGACAACGTGCAGAATAGAATAGAATAGAATAGAATAGAATAGAATAGAATAACCCTTTAATTGTCCCACAAGGGGAAATTTGGTTGTAACAGCAGCCAGAAAGACACACATACAACTAGGGATGGGTACCGGTGTCGTTCTGACATAAACGGTAGTAACCAGACCGAAAAGCAGCGCACATTTCGGTGCTTTATTTCGGTGCTTTTTTTCCTGAGCTGTGATACACTTCTAGCCAATCATTTTACATTTCCGAGAATAGTAGGCGGGTCCAGGTACGTACGTTCTTTTAGAGCAGAGCTACAGATTAAAAATGTCCAAGGCGAAGCGGTCAAAAGTCTGGCTGTACTTCACAGCAAAATATGCAAACTCAGCAGCCTGCAACAAGTGCTTTAAGCTGATACTGTCAAAGGAGGTAACACCAAGAATCCGATGAAACACCTGGCGATGCATAGCGTTTTTTTTAAAAGCCCAGAAATGCGCCGTATTTGATAGCTTGCTGCAAGACCTCACACCGAGCGCATCTGCTGCGGGTGGGTTGGCTGTTATGCAACATCCCCCAAAAACACGAAGAGGAGAGTCCTGGCCCCTAGCCCTGCCAGTGTAGCAGAAATGATGATGGATGATGATGCAGCAGCAGCTGTTCTTCTCTGCGTGAGTAGCTAATTTACGTTGAGTAGGCTAACCACGTTATTACATTAATGCATGTAAGGTGAACTAGCAAACATCATCATAGCTACATGCGGCTGTCCTCTTGTTTGATGGCAGATACTCCCTTCACCCTGGACAAAAAGGCTAAAATGACCAAAGAAAAAGTGGAAAACAGTTAAACATGAGAGGTTTTTGGACAAAGTTTGTGTTTTTTCCATTGATTAAGCACTGCTTCCAGCCAAGAGTGATACCATATATGCCCCATAGCTGCAGAAAATAACATTGTTATCTTTTTACAAAAAACAGCTGAACATGAGAGGTTTTTGGACCAATTTTGTGTTCTCCATTCTTTAAGCACCGGCACCGTTTCAAAAGTACCGATTTGGCACCTGTATCGGATAAAACCTAAACGATACCCATCCCTACATACAACAAACAGTACACAGGACACAGAACAGAAACAGACACAATTTTTCTTACATATTTACAAAAACAGGTGCTTTGTCCGTCCGTAGTGTCGTTATATTAAATATAAGAGAAAGAGAGGACTTTAAGAAATTAATATAGCCACTACAGTGACCATCAAAACGATGAAAAAAATAAAATATTGCCATAAACAGTAACTGCTACCAGGTCAAGCTTGTGTCCTGTGTGTCACAACAAAGAAGTGGTTTGTTTTGAGCTAAATAAAAGCACACGTGCTGTAGTGCCTGGATCAGCATGTGAGCTGACTGTGTGCAGAGGCACACAGATGGACAGAAAAGAGGGAGTCACATGGAGGGACTGGGATTTTTACTTATTTTTGATAATAGGGAAAACATTATTATAAGGCTGTTCTAAAAGCTCCCTGAAAAGCCTTTAGCTGATCCAAAATGCTGCAGTGAGCGTACTAACAGGGACTAGAAGGAGAGATCATATTTCTCCCATATTAGCTTCTCTTTACTTTACTGACTAACTGTTAAGTCCAGAACTGAATTTAAAATCCTCTGCCTCACATAGAAATTCCTCAATAATCAGGCCCCATCATGCTTTAAAGACCGTATAGTATCATAGTATATCAATAGATCACTTGTCTCTCAGACTGTAGGTTTATCTGCGGTTCCTAGAGTTCCTAAAAGTCAAATGGGAGCCAGAGCCTTCAGCTGTCAGGATCTCCTGTGGAACCCGCTCCAAGCTGTCCATCAGGAGACAGACACCATCGCTGCTTTAAAGGGCTTGTGTGTAACCTTTCTTTCTGGTTAGGGTTAGTTAGATCAGGTCATCCTGAACCATGCCTTAGTTATGCGACAGACTCAGGTGGCTGGGGGACTTCCCATGATGCACTGAGCATTTCTTCTTTACTCCCGTCTTTTCACTAACTGTACGATAACATACCACTATCACATCTATTCTTGTCCGTTTTCTCTTTTCCCTCCTCTCACCCCACAACTGGCCACGGAAGATCCTGCCCCTCCCCAAGTCTGGTTCTGTTTGAGGTCTCTTCCTGTTAAAAGAGATTTCTTCCTCCTCGCTCTTGTAGGGGATCATTTGATTGTTGGCGTTCTCTTTCTCATAATTGATGGGGTTCTTATAGTACAAAGCAACTTAAGACAACTATTGTTGTGAAGGGGTAGTGTTAATAGAATAAATACATATCCTATTTCCAGTATACAGAGACTAAATTTGTTTAGACACAGCTTTTTGTCGTTTTGCTTATTTTTTTAATGCATAACAGCAGTTCCCAGAACACACTTCTCTAAAGCTATCTGGCTTGTCATGCATGCACTGGCGCAAATCCAGGATGTGAAAACAAAAACGTGTTTCTAGACCCTAGTGACTTATTTTCATATTGCTGATGAATTAAAGCAGTTATGAGTCTCTTCTGGTAAAACAAACTGTATATTTTTTATTATATAATTTAACTTGATATAATCTTCTAAAATCTGTAAAAAGGCATAGATCAGTCTTTTTTTCATAACCTCTGACAGAAGTCTCGTGTGCCGGTTTAATGCCTGTTGGAACTCCAGTATGAAAATGGCTTAAGTAGAGCTGAAAATCTGACCTTAATATGCGCTCTCTGGTATGCATTAGCTCATATGACCAAAGCTAAATGAGCCCAGAGCCATCCTTGAAGGTTAGTCAAGTGTGATTACTTGACATGTGTGCATTATTAACTATAAGAGTAAGGAAAAATCCTCTGTCCATTATGTATGCTGACTGAGAAGCATAAAATATGTGCTTTGCCCCATAATACATCACTGTATGTCATCATATTCCACATGTGATCTTTGTACCTTTGCGTGTGTTCTCAGTGACGTCGACGCCAAACTGGATGATGTCGCCGGAGAGGACCTCACAGGGCGGACTCTCCTCCGAGCCACGACTCAACCTCTGGCTGTTGATGAATGTCCCATTGCTGCTTTTAGTGTCTTGCAGGTAGAACTGAAACATGCAAAACAACAGGTCACAACCATGTGAAGAAAACTGACACTTATAAACAAACATGAACAGAAAACTCTAAATTGAAGAAGAGTCGAGTTAAAATAGATCCCCAGATTAAAAGAGAGAAATAAATTATGACAGGAAATATGAAGCTACGGCTCATAATGGCAGAAATTATATTTCACAACCTTTTGGTAGTATGATTTTCATATTGTCAAACAAACATTAAGTATTTATCAGTAATCAAAGCCAATTAAATAGTATATTTTTGGAAAAGAAATGTCTGCATAAACTATTTCCTTGTTTTCACCAGTGGTAGGATTTAACATGTTACCAACTACACCCTCTGGAACCTGGACACTGTTTGCTATTCACCAACAAAAACAACCAATATAAAATAAAAATGCACTACAAATGACCAGGCCTCAAACTGATAAAAACATGTACAATACAAAGCTAAATACTTGGTGTATCCAAAAAAACAAAAAGAAACCAAAAACACACACAAAATGATCTGACCCCCGTCCAATGAATTTCACCAGAACATAAAACTGAAACTCTTGACATGAACTCCCCTGAAGCAACGTGGGGTTAGACGGCACCAAAAAAAAAATATTCTGCTTTGTTTACCTAATTATTCATGTCACCCAACCACAACATAGCCTCACAGTTACAGAGCCACCTGTCACCATCGATGGCTGCAGTCTACCTCCTTGTAATACACAGATTTTACAATGTTGTATTACCATATTTTTTGGACTATAAGGCGCACCGGATTATAGGGCGCATTAAGCGAAACAAAACAGTCAGATAAGTCAAAATTTACTCAACCCATTCTTCTTGCTTCCTCCACTTCCGAACCATTGATTCATTAATGATGAATTCTCTCACAGCTGCTCTATTCCCATGTTGTTGCAGTATATTAATGACTAACCTCATAATGTGGATGGATTATCTCAGTCGTTCTCCTGACTGAAGTTGGGTCCGTTTACAGCATCCTGCAATGCGATTGCATTTGTCCCTTACCATTGGGAACCTTCGCGTTAACTTTTATCGACTAGAAAGAAGTTAGCGTTCATCCTGCAGCTTCACTGTGTTTATGTTATGCTAACATAGATGTGTCGCTAGCGATCACGAAGCACATCATTACATGCCAGCTAGCCCAACTTCAGTAACCCTACAAAATACACTCCTGTTTAGTTTTCTGTCTTCATTTATGTTGGAAGTGGTAGCAGTGCTGTACGTTTAAATTTTTTCAGAAATCATGTTTAGGTGGAAACTAGCGAGCGCCGTGTACCACATAAAATTGGTTCGAGGTCAGTAAGAACAACCAAGATTCATAAATAAGGTGCACCGGATTAAAAGGCGCACTGTCGATTTTTGAGAAAATTAAAGGATTATAAGTGCACCTTAGTCTGAAAAATATGGTACAAGCACAGCAGCTACCCAGAGATGACCCTGGTGAGGCATAGGTACAAGGTTTTATTTTTTAGGGGAGTAAGAGGAACCCGTCTTGGTTTGTAAATTCCCACTGTGAAACCTCACGATGAGCATTATTTGCCATCAACATCCTTTTGTTTTAAACCAGAGGTGAAGAGTGAGGGACACTGGATTCTTGTATGTCAATCACAAAGTAGAGGGTAATGGGAACCACAGCCAATAGCATGTTGTGTTTAGTAAGTCTCACGGTACTTTGTGAAATAGTCAGAACACAATTTTCATCAGACCAGATGTCATATCAACTAGAGATAGACCGATCCGACATTACGTATCGGTCCGATACTGACCTAAATTACTGGATCGGCTATCGGAGAGAAATAAAAAATGTAATCCGATCCATTAAATATCACAAAAGCACTTCACAAAACTTGCGACATGGCAGAACTCGGCTTATAACCTTAGCACGTCGGAGCAGTATGCGTCACGTGGTACAGCGACTGTGGCGTGCGAGACCTCTCGGTGGTCTGGTTGAGCATTTGGAGCCTCGCTACCAAACCGGAATTTCATCTCTGAGAACGTTATCCCAGAGAGAAGTAAAGCAAGTGTGTAAGTTCATCTCTGAATGTTCATAAAGCATTCCCATGTTAAGCTTATGACTGCCTCTCATTCTCTCCCCCTCCCTCTCCTGCTGCTACTTCAATCACGAAACTAATCAATGATCAGCTGATCGGCTTTTCAGTCGCGAGTCCCGTCTCTCTTGTTTGTTTTTGGCCCACTTTGCATTTTTAAGCTTGATAAGCTGTTGTTAGAATTTATTTAATATTACTTTCTACACCAGGATCCTTTTCTACGTAGCTGACGGCTGGTAACTGTGCAGGGGCGAGTCTAGCAAAGTTTGGCCAGGGGGGCAGGTAGGGCATTAACAGGGAAAGGGGGGGGCACAAAGAAATACTTTTCTTTCTTATTCTCATTTAAAATGTCTAGCTTTTGATAAATAATTATCTGAATCTTACACCCAAAGTTTTAATCTGATGTAAAATGTATAGAAGTCTATTACTAATATTAAATCTAATATATACCCTAGTAAGCTATAGTACTTTTTCCTCTGGGAAGGTACGATCTGTGCAGTCTGCAATTCTGTTGAAGAAAGATGTTGAATCTATTTAATTATTGTAGAAAAATAATTGATTTCTGTGCAAATTTTTTTAATATATATTTTTTATTTTACACGTGCATTAAATTAAAGTAGATTACGTCGATTAAGCATCACAAGGCGGGGGGGGGGGGGGGGTCCCCTATTTATTTATGTCTGTATGTATGTATGTATGTATGTATGTCTGTATGTCTGTATTTATTTATTTTTTAACCTATTAGTTAGGTTGTTTAATATTTCTGCTAAGTACTCTTTAAAATACCAGAATAGGAAGGATGGTGTAGGCTTAAGTTTATTAGATTGATCAATATTGCTGAACTATGAAATATTTTGGGTGCAGTGTATTTTTTGCATACAGGTATAACAGAATAGCTTTATCGTTTTGTTTTTTAAAACTTGAGTATGAACTTGTACAAAATGCAGCAAAATATTTTTTAAAAAACTGTTTTATTGATTAAAAAATACACTATATCGGATTTATATCGGTATCGGCAGATATCCAAATTTATGATATCAGTATCGGACATAAAAAAGTGGTATCATGCCATCTCTAATATCAACCGATTTGCATCCATGCACATTGATTACAGATTTTTTTGCCCCTGAAGGAGGGATGTTCGATATAACGATATATATTGGATGACGATATAATAACGTATATTGTTTGTTTTGTGGTGTCGTAAAATAAACTTTGTACAGCAATATTTTTTCATCGTTTTGATGGTCACTGTAGTGGCTTTATTAATTTCTTAAAGTTCTCTCTTTCTCTTATATTTAATATAACCACACTACGGACGGACAAGCGCCTGTTTTTACGTGTTGTCGTTAGCAACAATGACGGTAAAACAAGGTAACAAGTCCGCTTGTTTGTTTTCCACGTAAACCTTTCACAATAAAGCTCAAGATCCTGCTGAGACTTTTTAAAATAAACTGAATCATCGGAAAGAGTATGCAGAGAGTTTACGGATGAGAAGAAAAACTTCAGGGAAATCGAGTTGCCCGAGATTCACAGAATTTACAGAAAATATTACATTTTTGTGATTTATATTGTTGTCAGGACAATAAATGTCTTATATCGGGATATGAGATTTTTGTCATATCGCACAGCCCTATATCCTGAAGGGCAAAAATGTTTTGAGGCTCATATCTCATGTCTTTCACAAATCAGAGATGTCATCCTCTGCTGACCATTACAAAAATGTCATACTTTAGACCACACGCCTTATAAATCGTGCAGGTTGACACCCACCAGGCCCACAAACAGACAGACATAGCTACTCTGAAATCACCCAGGGACTCCCGCAGTCCTGTTTCAAAGCTTTAAGATGACTGTTTTCATCATCACCATTTTGGCATTTTATAATCAGATGTCACAAGCGAGGGTTTGTGACAAGCAGAGGTCGATGTTTTGAGAAAATTCAGGCTTCTCCCTGTTATCCATCTTTTATATACAGTCTATATACACAGAGAACACCCATGATGGTAAACCATAAACAAGAAGCCAAAATCATATTCGTTCATATGATTCAGGAAACCCATGCAGAATATCTTGATTGATATCAGACAGGAAACAACCAGTCAAAACAAAACACAAATTAGAGCAAACACAGATATTAACAGCTAAAATTGAAACACAAACGAGCACACACAGATAAAGGTAACACAGACACAGCAAAAATTACACACACACACACACACACACACACACACACAGATAACGATCTGATCTGGATGCCCCGGGCCTTTTTGCCTGTTGTTCCAGGAGTTTCATTCATCAGCTTTCAGCTCTCCGTCATGACTTGAAACGCTCTGTCCTACCAGAGAGAGAGGAAGGAGGGACTGAAGGAGGAAACAGCAAAAAACAAGCCACGGAGAGAGAGAGAGGCTGAGGCTGACTGGCTCACTTCGCTGTTTATCCCACTGCAGTGTGCAACGAAAAGCTAGCAATTCACACCTCATGATAGCTATACACTAACACACACAGACACAGACACAGACACACACACACACACAGTTACCTTCTGTCCCCATGGTAACCTGGAGATGGGGAGGGAGGGACCTAACTATAGAGCTTTTCACCCAGCAACACCGCGCACACACACACTATGCGTCACATATGGCTCTCGCAGACTTACATTCTCATGCACATACACAGAGAAACCATGACATCATCCACCTGTGAGCTGCAGACAGCGAGTTCAGTCTGCTGACTGTGACGCCTGATTTCTCATAGAGCACCTGAGACATATGTTGTGAAACAAGTCCACAACATATATTACGACATGTCACACAACCAGGAAGTAACAATAAAGCAGAGCACAGAAGCAGCAGACATGGTGAGTAAAACGGTGCCAAAGTCATATACACAGAGACAACAGCAGGGAGAAAAAGAAAGTCGCAGCAAGAG